AGTGTTTTGGTGGTTTATTAGTGTTTTGGTTGGTAGTGGTGGTTTAGTAGTGTTTTGGTTGGTAGTGGTGGTTTATTAGTGTTTTGGTTGGTAGTGGTGGTTTATTAGTGTTTTGGTTGGTAGTGGTGGTTTATTAGTGTTTTGGTTGGTAGTGGTGGTTTATTAGTGTTTTGGTTGGTTGTTCCTTTTGCTGTTGCATTGATTTATTGAAATATCATGTTGTGAGTTGTTTGTTCTCAGGGCACCATTGTGAATGAGACCCTGGTCTCAATTGGGCTGCCCTGATTTAAATAAAGTTAATTTAAATTTAAAAAACTAAAAACAACTCTACGAGGCAGCTTTCAAATGAACAGTAACCCCTCACTCTCCAACAGGCAATACGATAGCCATAGGTCTACCATAGGTCATACTGGTTACTTCCATGGTCACACGTTTGAGGTGACTTGTAACACTCAGAGCAACTAATTTATCTGAAAAGCGAAACATGGTATACTTTTCATTTCATTGCATTCATAATCTTTTTATTTACAATAACTTTATATTTGAAAAATACAAAGAGCCTTGTCTAATGCTAGACAATCGAAGGAACCATGATGCGGACCAACAGCATTGTAATGGTGACACAGGCCTACAGTACAACAAGACCGGGTACTTCAAAAACACCAGAAAACACATTGTAGAATGAGTAGAACAATACATCAATGAATTGATGGCATCATAACTCAGAACAGTAAATCAATTAAATTCACTACCCATTTAACAAACTTTTCCCTTTTTTCAAAAATATTACAGGCTACGTAGACCGGCTCCTGAATCTCCTCTAACGAGGTCACCCTAGATCCAGGACCCCTGTCAGCCCAGTGTGAGAGGCCTGATCTGTCCATCCCAGGACCCCTGTCAGCCCAGTGTGAGAGGCCTGACGAGGAGGAGGCCATAGCTGGATTTGTCTCACACTTCAATCTTGGGGGTGACTGAAGCCTGCTTGATTGAAGAGGGGTACATGGGTCCCTATCTCCCACTCCCCTCCCCATCAATCTCTGTAGGTGGTTGAATTTCCTAAAGCCTAAGTAATTCACTTTTACGTCATAGGACGTCACACTTTGTTACTTTGTACAGTGGGGAAAAAAAGTATTTAGTCAGCCACCAATTGTGCAAGTTCTCCCACTTAAAAAGATGAGAGGCCTGTAATTTTCATCATAGGTACACGTCAACTATGACAGACAAATTGAGAAGAAAAAAATCCAGAAAATCACATTGTAGGATTTTTTATGAATTTATTTGCAAATTATGGTGGAAAATAAGTATTTGGTCACCTACAAACAAGCAAGATTTCTGGCTCTCACAGACCTGTAACTTCTTCTTTAAGAGGCTCCTCTGTCCTCCACTCGTTACCTGTATTAATGGCACCTGTTTGAACTTGTTATCAGTATAAAAGACACCTGTCCACAACCTCAAACAGTCACACTCCAAACTCCACTATGGCCAAGACCAAAGAGCTGTCAAAGGACACCAGAAACAAAATTGTAGACCTGCACCAGGCTGGGAAGACTGCATCTGCAATAGGTAAGCAGCTTGGTTTGAAGAAATCAACTGTGGGAGCAATTATTAGGAAATGGAAGACATACAAGACCACTGATAATCTCCCTCGATCTGGGGCTCCACGCAAGATCTCACCCCGTGGGGTCAAAATGATCACAAGAACGGTGAGCAAAAATCCCAGAACCACACGGGGGGACCTAGTGACCTGCAGAGAGCTGGGACCAAAGTAACAAAGCCTACCATCAGTAACACACTACGCCGCCAGGGACTCAAATCCTGCAGTGCCAGACGTGTCCCCCTGCTTAAGCCAGTACATGTCCAGGCCCGTCTGAAGTTTGCTAGAGTGCATTTGGATGATCCAGAAGAGGATTGGAAGAATGTCATATGGTCAGATGAAACCAAAATATAACTTTTTGGTATAAACTCAACTCGTCGTGTTTGGAGGACAAAGAATGCTGAGTTGCATCCAAAGAACACCATACCTACTGTGAAGCATGGGGGTGGAAACATCATGCTTTGGGGCTGTTTTTCTGCAAAGGGACCAGGACGACTGATCCGTGTAAAGGAAAGAATGAATGGGGCCATGTATCGTGAGATTTTGAGTGAAAACCTCCTTCCATCAGCAAGGGCATTGAAGATGAAACGTGGCTGGGTCTTTCAGCATGACAATGATCCCAAACACACCGCCCGGGCAACGAAGGAGTGGTTTCGTAAGAAGCATTTCAAGGTCCTGGAGTGGCCTAGCCAGTCTCCAGATCTCAACCCCATAGAAAATCTTTGGAGGGAGTTGAAAGTCTGTGTTGCCCAGCGACAGCCCCAAAACATCACTGCTCTAGAGGAGATCTGCATGGAGGAATGGGCCAAAATACCAGCAACAGTGTGTGAAAACCTTGTGAAGACTTACAGAAAACGTTTGACCTGTGTCATTGCCAACAAAGGGTATATAACAAAGTATTGAGAAACTTTTGTTATTGACCAAATACTTATTTTCCACCATAATTTGCAAATAAATTCATAAAAAATCCTACAATGTGATTTTCTGGATTTCTTTTTCCTCATTTTGTCTGTCATAGTTGACGTGTACCTATGATGAAAATTACAGGCCTCTCTCATCTTTTTAAGTGGGAGAACTTGCACAATTGGTGGCTGACTAAATACTTTTTTCCCCCACTGTATAGTTTTTTTCAAGCATTAGGACAGGAGATCAGTGTTACAAATTGTATGAATCAATGGGTCCTGCTTACTGTAGGGCGGCTGGGTGCCTGTATTAGGCTTATGGCTCAAATTACTTTTTCTAATGTCAAATGTCTCACCATTATTTATCACCTTTTATTTAGGTTGATCAATATTTAGGTTGTGCTGGCCTATTGTAAATGATCAAATAAATGTCTGATCAATACATACAATTCTGAACATATTGTCATTTATAATGCTAATGCAGAGGCACCATTAATTGTCAAGTACACTTATTATATGCGGTTTTCATGTACATTCCCTTATGTCTAAGGTGACTCAGGCTTGACTAATTCTTGTGAAGTAGTTTATCAGTGAACTGTATTCTGTAATTAGTTACAAAGCAATAGGCTGACTAGAAACTTAATGTGGAGAAAAGGAATGCTGTATTCTGTTGGGAAGGTACGACTTCATTATAGGACTAATATATGCATAAACACAGTGCAACTGTACACCTAGAATGATATGTAAACGTGACACACGTCAAGAACATTGACCATGAGAGCATTTTGCAGAGAAAATGGGTTGGGGCATACTATTTAGGTTAGGAATGACCTGGTCCATTGTTTACCTTGTTACCTGGCAACGACCACAAGGGTGTTTCAAAGAGCTGTCAGTCAAGGTGAGCTCATGAATATAAGCTCCCCGCCTACTCAGCCTGTTCCTTCAGGCTTCCTGATAGTTAGAGATGAGAGAATGTACCATTTCTTCAATTCTGAGCATTTTAATGGCGTAAAAATATTATGGGTGATGTTTTGGTCATTCAAAGGCTATTTTTACTTTGGAAATAGGATGACGGTGCGGGACCTTTTTTAAGAAGAGAAATTGTAGAAATAGGAGGGGTTTATGACTTTGTCTGTTATCTACTGACGATCCTAAGTCCTTTTTAATATAAAAAAACAACAGACAATGCTGACTGATAGAGAATTTCTGATTTCTTAAAGAAAATAATAATAATAATAAACAATATCTACATAAATATGATTGCTTTACAATAAATAATTTAAGACTATACACTGGTTTCTGAGTTATTAACAAAAGGAGGAAAGTTCACAGTACACATGGAGAAATGACTGGCAATGACTAGCCTACAGATATGCTACATACAACATCCAAAGTCATGTTTAACACGTGTGAATGGACAGCTGGTGGAATGGATGAAAAGGGGATCATAATGAAGTTATTTGATGAGGACAACCAACAGTGAATACTGTGACTGATCTGTCTGAATCACAGGAGGTTGGAGGCACCTTAATTGGGGAGGACGGGCTCATAGTAATGGCTGGAACAGAATAACTGGTTTACATGTGTTTGATACCATTCCAATCACTACATTCCAGGCATTTTTATGAGCCATCCTCCCCTCAGCAGCCACCTGTGGTCTGAATCATACAGAAATAATGTTGCAGGACAGGGTAAGCTAATTAAGAGGACATGAGGGAGGAAGCGTAGAGAGCGATTACATTATGGAGATAGAACGATGTAGAATAACATATTTTTCAAAGTACAGTAACTCCTCACTCTCCAAGAGGCAATAAGATAGTCATAGGTCATACTGGTTACTTCCATGGTCACACGTTTGAGGTGACTGGTAAAACTCATAGAGCAACAATCTGAAAAGCTTAACATGGTATACTTTTCATTCATCGCATTCATAATCTTTTTATTTACAATAACTTTCTATTTGAAAAATACAAACAGTCCTGTCTATTTCTAGACAATCAAAGGAACCATAATGCGGACCAACAGCATTGTAATGGTGACACAAGCCTACAGTACAACAAGACGGGGTCAACACGATCCATGTCCACCACTAAGGCAGCTGAAGACGTTTCCTCATCACTGACACCTGATCAGATTCATCATAGAATTAGAATTCTATGGGTTCTGTCAGGTTCCATCTTGTCCGTAGCATTTTGTCTGCCATAGTGCCATTGATACAGGCCTGCCCCAGGTCTGCTTCCCTAGCTGACGGTCAGATCTGGGAACAGTTCACCCTCCCCCAATCCTAAACTGACCTAAGATCAGTGTCTAGGGTAGCTAGACCTCATACTCCACTTGCTCATCCTGTGGATGGATGGAGCTGCTTTCTACCAACACTGCACTGTGTCTCTACAATTACACGAGGGCGCCAGATCCATTCTCTAATCAATGACACTGCTATCTATAGACTGGTCACTGGAACATTGGCATTTGTTGGCATTTTCTTGAAATGGCTGACCAGTATCCTAATCCAAGGGCTTGCCTCTGGGTAAGGAGGGGCAAAGTTGGGTTTTGGGTAGGGGGAGGAAGTGCTGCTTTGTTGGGGGAGCCACCAGCTGGTGCTGTTGGGTTCGGTTCTGGAGACCAGGGGCGGCCTGATGGGACCAGGGAAGGGTGGAGGGTTCAGGGCTTTATGTCAGAGAAGCTGGTGTAGGTCTCACAGCAGCTGGATGAAGTGCTGAGGTTCCCTGAGCCACTGCCCTCTGTAATACACACACACAGACATACACAGAGGTTAGAGGAGATGGTTTAGGAGAGATGTACACACACACACACACACACACATAATTCTACCTAGATGGAGAGGAGGAGGTTTTACCTGAACTGGTGAGAGACTGGCAGGACGTGGACTCTCCAATCAGGGTGTGAAGGTTGGCTGCAGCCACCCAGCCCTCCTGCTTAGTCTTCAGATTCTTCACAAACCTGCAGCAACACAGAAACACACACAATTCCGCCCCCCCCACGATCAGCACTTAGCTACCTTTTTACTATGATGTGCCCTAATGAATATTACCTTGTTGGAATAGGCTATGAGTGTGATTGTGTGAAACCCAGTGTCGAGGTAATATTCTCACCACTGTCCATCTTCTCCCTTCTTGATCAGCTGAACCGTTTCACCACTCTTGACTGACAGATCCTGGGCCCTGATCTTCTCATAGTCAGACACCACTGTGTACTTCCCTGCACGCTGCACACCGTCAGGATAGGGTGTTACATTGTATGTATGATTGTAAACTATTCTTTTAAAACGGTTTGTATGTGGAGCTACAAAACAGCTTGGAGTGGATGACAATCCTCACACACACACACTCTTGCGCAGTTAACCTTGTGGGGACAATTCAGTCCCATTCAAAATCCTATTTTCCCTAACCCTAACTCGTACCCTTACCCTAACCCAAAAACCTAACCTTAACCCTAATTTCTTGGTTTACTATTTTTGTGGGCACTTCTCGTCCACACAAGTATAGTTAAACACGTCCACACTCACCAGTTTCTTTCCCCCCTCGTCCTCAGGGTCTGAGGTTAGGGGCTCCTCAGTGCTAGAGTACCCATCATTCTCCTCGTTGGCGTCCAATGAGAGAGAGCCCTTGGTCCATCCTAGAGGAGGAAGGGAGAGAGGGTACGTAAGAGTATGGTGTCATGTCTAGTCTGAAACACGCACACGTACACACACACACACACACACACACAGGGACAGTGAGAGCAGGCACTGCAGCAACTTCTGCCAGACCAGACATGGTCAGTGACAGGGTGGACCACGATCAGAGTGAACAGGACCAAGTCCTGTGGAACTCAACCACAAAGCCATCAGTGAGCCTACAGTAATCGTGCTCGACCATTCAGAACCGCAACACTACTAAGCAACCAGGAACGTGCCTGTTTCTTGATAAATGTATTGCATGTGCATACACACACTCAGGCCTGGGAACACAGTGTGCAGGGAGTGAGAGAGATGAGGGGCAAACCTCTCAGTGAAATTCGGCAGTCATTTTGTGCTCACTACACATTTTAATAATCTAGTCCAGTCCAATTGAGTGCTGTACGGTACCTCTCCTCTTGGCCTGTAAGAGACTAGAGGTGCTGAGCCACCTGACTCTGCCCAGGTGGAGGTGAGCGTGAGGGCCTGGTTCTGAGAGAGAGAGACACACGACCGCATGAAACACAGTCAAAGGAATCGACCGCAGCGAACATACTCAACCACAGTAAATGACCGAGCGTGGTAACTACGACCGCTGTTGCCTGTCAGTCAACACAGTGTTTCATACATTCCCTGATGAACCATGTTCTCTTTGTCTGAGGGGAGAAACTGCTGTGTGCAAAAAATCAATACACCCTGACCAACCACCGTCGAAATAATGAAATGCAGCGACCGTGTTCGACCACAGATTTAGTGAATAGGGTTATTATGGGATGGTGTACCTTTGAAGCCGAACGGAGTGGGATCACTCTTTATCTCATGACGTTTGGTTTTATGGTCAGGGCTTGTGGGAGAACCTAGCCGAATAGAAGAAGAGAAGTGAGGAGGAGGAAGAGAGTGAAGAAGAGCAGCTAAACACTAACAGGAAGTAGAAATAAGTAGTAGCATATCTTTAAAGTGGATGTTACAGGAAGTATGTCTACTCTGTGTTGTTCTGTGCACTGCCATTGTTATCCAACAGCACACACTACTCTGAGACTATAGTGGTGAAAAACAGAGATACAGGGTCTGAAGCCTAAAGCTATGGGACACAGTTAACTCTAGACACTAATCTGTACCTGGCAGAGAGAGAGGCATCCTGGGTAAAGTTAAGCTTTTATTGTCAGGAGGTGAGAGGTCTGTGGAAGGAAGCGTGCCATGATTTATCGTGTTGTAGGCTACAGTGCTGACATTAGCCTTGTAAAGTGCTGGCATGATGTAGTCACATAAAGTACTATGGCAGCCCCTGGTGGCGAGATAGTGCTATTACCTTTGCTGAAGTTGCTGAAGCCCTGCAAGGTAAAACGCTTTTTAGCCACTGCTGCTCTGTCTAAGGTAGGACTGGTCATTGCCTCGTCTGGGCCAGGAGAAGGAGAGGAGCAGGGGAGAGAGGGAATGAGGGAGAGGTGAGTGGCATGAGGAACAGGAGAGCAACAGGGAGAGGTATGTGAGACATAAAATAAGGAAATAGTGTTGAATTTAGCATTATACCCAATTGAAAGGTGGTGGTCTGAGCTGTGTTTGTGTTATACAGCAGTACCCTCCTAGCCCCTTCTCCCCCCCCCCCCCCCCATCTCTGCTCACCTTTGGTTTTTGGGGAGGAGCAGGAGTTAGCATCGGGGCTGCTCGGTTCTCCCTTCTTCTCCTTCATGCTCCTCTCCCCTCTTCTAAATGGACTGAGGAAACAGGAGGATGAAACACGTCAGTCACACTGCAACACACTGAGGTTACACAACATGTTGTGTTCAGGTTATAACCATTATCAATTCTGTACCCACAAAACCCATACCCTCCATGCGATTTATACTAGACTGGAAAATAAATCCTTCTCATTGGGCATGAGAGGCAAAGAGGAGTTGCCTGGCTACCCAGACTTCTTGCTCCGGCCAAACGCTACGTCACGCCCACGGACGTTAGTTTCTTCTCCTCAATGCGTCTGGATCTAAGTACCTCCCCGACCCTCAGTGGTGGAAAAAGTACCCAATTGTCATACCTGAGTAAAAGTAAAGATACCTTAATAGAAAATAACTCAAGTAAAAGTGAAAGTCACTCAGTAAAATACTACTTGAATAAAAGGCTAAAAGTATTTGGATTTAAATATACTTCATTTTCAAAAGTAAATGTAATTGCGAAAATATACTTAAGTATCAAAAGTAAAAGTATTAATAATTTCACATTCCTTATATTAAGCCAGTGGTTCCCATCCTTTTCAGTTACTGTATCACAAACTGAATTTTGCTCTGCCCGAAGTGCCCCTGAAGTACCCCCTCGTGCATTTTACCAGTAGGCCTTTGGTCTCATAAGTCTTCTCAAGTACCCCCTATGGATAGGCTAAGTACCCCCAGGGGTCCTAGTACCCCTGGTTGGGAACCACTGTATTAAGCAAACCAGACGGCACGGTTTTCTAGTAAAAAAAATAATAATTATGGATAGCCAGGGGCACACTCCAACACTCAGACATCATTTACAACTGAAGCATTTGTGTTTAGTGAGTCCACCAGATCAGAGGCAGTAGGGATGACTAGTGATGTTCTCTTGATAAATGCATGAATTGGACCATTTTCATGACCTGCTAAGCATTCAAAATGTAACAAGTACTTTTGGGTGTCAGGAAAAATGTATGGGAGTAAAAAGTACATTCTTTTCTTTAGGAATATAGTGGTGTAAAGTAAAAGTTGTCAAAAATATAAATAGTAAAGTACAGATACCTCCCCAAAACTACTTAAGTAGTACTTTTAAGTATTTTTACTTAAGTACTTTATACCACTTCACTGAATACGAACACATTCGGGGCCGTCTGAATGGTCCAGAAACCGATGCGTTGGGCCAGAGCCAGAACACACGTGGGTAAAGCTGCGGTTTGAAACTTTTTCATTGGCTTTGATACTCTGATTGGTTAGAGATTATCCAATCGCTGATGACTTTGTTTGGTACAAAGCTCCTCATGCCCCTCATCACCATAATGACTTCAATGACGGCAGTCTCAGACTAGCGTATGTAGCGAACGACAGAGCAACGGAAGAATTTAGTGTGTCGTCAGGCTATGAGAGCAGGTCTGTGATATGTCAATATGGGACAAGTGTAGGAGAGGGTCTGTGATAGGTCAATGTGGGACAAGTGTAGGAGAGGGTCTGTGATAGGTCAGTATAGGACAAGTGTAGGAGAGGGTCTGTGATAGGTCAGTATAGGACAAGTGTAGGAGAGGGTCTGTGATAGGTCAGTATGGGACAAGTGTAGGAGAGGGTCTGTGATAGGTCAGTATGGGACAAGTGTAGGAGAGGGTCTGTGATAGGTCAGTATGGGACAAGTGTAGGAGAGGGTCTGTGATAGGTCAGTATGGGACAAGTATAGGAGAGGGTCTGTGATAGGTCAGTATAGGACAAGTGTAGGAGAGGGTCTGTGATAGGTCAGTATAGGACAAGTGTAGGAGAGGGTCTGTGATAGGTCAGTATGGGCCATGTGACTGACCCGAGGCTGACAGGTCCTCCAGCGGCAGGAGGGAACTGGAACAGTCCGTCTGACGGCCTCTGTTGGCTGGCTTCTAGAAGACACGCAGGGTTATCTACTACAGTCCCACCTCATCATGACCACTGAGCAATGTAATGCACAATGTGATTACAATATAATACACTCAAAGTATTAGAAAGAAAACAAATACTATATCACCCCAGGTCTGCCACAGACACCCTGCCTACCTCTGTAGGCCTCCAGCTGTGTTGTCAGAACCTTACGGATCTCGTTCACCCACGTCGTTTTCACATCAGATGTCGGGGCCTGAATTACAACGATGAAACCCATTACTGGTTAGTGCAGATACATGTGTTACATGTTTTTTCCAAATAGAGTCAGATATGACTTGTGTATCATTGTAAAAAATAAATACATTGTCATGTAATCTATAGCAGTGGAATGGGCAGGGTTTGAGTGATGGTCACACACCTGTACGATGTACACCTCCTCCCGTGAGTTGCACCAGACCTCAAACTTCTTGTTGTCACCTTTGGCATTCTCAGTGATGCCCACAGCACTCATCTGGTAGAGGGCATACCGTTTTGGAAAATGTTAGCTTGTAAAACATATATCTTAACTCACTTGCAATATCAAACACTTGGTAAGACAGACAGACAGACAGACAGACAGACAGACAGACAGACAGACAGACAGACAGACAGACAGACAGACAGACAGACAGACAGACAGACAGACAGACAGACAGACAGACAGACAGACAGACAGACAGACAGACAGACAGACAGACAGACAGACAGACAGACAGACAGACAGACAGACAGACAGACAGACAGACAGACAGACAGACAGACAGAAAGAGAGAGACAGACAGACAAAGAGAAAGGCAGACAGACAGACAGACAGAAAGAGAGAGACAGACAGACAGACAGACAGACAGACAGACAGACAGACAGACAGACAGACAGACAGACAGACAGACAGACAGACAGACAGACAGACAGACAGAAAGAGAGACAGACAGACTTACGCTGAGGGACTGTTTGAAGCTGTAGGAGGGGGCTTTCTCATAGCCCTCCCCGTTCTCCTCGCGTCTCTTACAGAAGAGCAGGGCTTTCTCATGCAGGAACAGGTGTCTCTGCATGGGCTTGAAGCGGGCCAGGTCCTTGACCTTGGCGTGACCTTTCTTGTGTTCCGTCCATACGCTGAATGACCCCTGCATCAGCAGCCGGCCCAGGTCACCCAGGTGACCCTATCAGAGGAGGGGTCACAGGTCAGGAGAAAGTTAATGTGTCATCATAAGCTATGGTGCTGCTGACCCATGTAATATTGACATCTCTGATGATGTAATGTGATGATGACGCCATGAAAGGAATACATTTCATACAATATGACGTACATTTCATACAATATGAAGTACATTTCATACAATATACAGTACATTTCATACAATATGCAGTACATTTCATACAATATGAAGTACATTTCATACAATATGCTGTACATTTCATACAATGTGAAGTTGAGCGATGATAAACTCACATCGTATCCAGTGATAGCAATGAGGTGCATGGAGTCGTTGACAGCCTTCAAGATGCCCAGGATAGAGGTGAGCGCCTCCTGAAGGTCCTCTGACCCCTCACAGCCCTTACTGTACTTTAGTAGCTCCTACAATTCAAAGACACACATTGAAGTCTGTTTTTGGATCTGTAATGGAACGGTGTATAAAGAACAAAATACAAAGGATATTAATATGGACCTAAATATTTGAATGCTTGAGACAACTTAAAACTAGAATCCTTAATCGGTGAAACTGCCACGTCCGTTTGAGATATTACAACAACAAAGAAGTTACTACAAACAACCAGCACTGTTTTTTTTCCCTCGGACATCATTGCACTGGAGATAGAACAGCAGAATATGTGCTGCAATTTTTTTTTACCATGATGCTCCTCTCCTCCGTTTCCTCAACAAAACAATAACAAAGGTGCTGGGGCAAACAGTGGTGCTGTTTCCCCCTGTATGGATTTCAGCTTTAAGGCATGAGGAAGTGAAGGAGAGAGGATGGAACTGTTTCCCTCTGTATGGATTTCAGCTTTAAAGCATGAGGAAGTGAAGGAGAGAGGATGGAGCTGTTTCCCTCTATGGATTTCAGCTTTAAAGCATGTGGAAGTGAAGGAGAGAGGATGGAGCTGTTTCCCTCTATGGATTTCAGCTTTAAAGCATGAGGAAGTGAAGGAGAGAGGATGGAGCTGTTTCCCTCTGTATGAATTTCAGCTTTAAGGCATGAGGAAGTGAAGGAGAGAGGATGGAGCTGTTTCCCTCTGTATGAATTTCAGCTTTAAGGCATGAGGAAGTGAAGGAGAGAGGATGGAGCTGTTTCCCCAAATGCGAATTTGATCTTTAAAGATTATATACCTTCAACAGGAGCTGGTATTTGGTGATCCTCTGGACCGGTTTCAGGAGATAGGAGTCCAAGCCCAGTTTATGTTCCAGCTTCTTCTGACATTCCTGGTACAGACCAGAACAGGGAGAATAGATTAGTAGGAGATAATAACCGCTCAGGCCTGAAGCTATTGGGGGTCTGTGTGTACCTTAGGGGAGGTGTGTATATGATGTGTACCTTAGGGGAGGTGTGTATATGATGTGTACCTTAGGGGAGGTGTGTATATGATGTGTACCTTAGGGGAGGTGTGTATATGATGTGTACCTTAGGGGAGGTGTGTATATGGTGTGTACCTTAGGGGAGGTGTGTATATGATGTGTACCTTAGGGGAGGTGTGTATATGATGTGTACCTTAGGGGAGGTGTGTATATGGTGTGTACCTTAGGGGAGGTGTGTATATGGTGTGTACCTTAGGGGAGGTGTGTATATGGTGTATACCTTAGGGGAGGTATGTATATGGTGTGTACCTTAGGGGAGGTGTGTATACAATGCATTCGGAAAGTATTGACCCCTTGACTTTTTCCACATTTTGTTACGTTACAGCCTTATTCTAAAATGGATTGTAAAACATTTCCCCCACTCATCAATCTACACACAATACCCCATAATGACAAACAAAAACCTTTCCAAATCATGTCCAGTCAATGTAATTTACCACAAGTGGACTCCAATCAAGTTGTAGAAACATCTCAAGGATGATCAATGGAAACAGGATGCACCTGAGCTCATAGCAAAGGGTCTGAATAAGTATGTAAATAAGGTATTTCTGTTTTTCAGTTTTAATACATTTTGCAAACATTTCTATAAACATGTTTTCACTTTGTCATTATGTGGTATTGTGTGTAGATCTATGAGGATTTTTATTTATTTAATCAATTTTAGAATAAGGCTGTAACGTAACAAAATGTGGAAAAAGTCAAGGGGTCTGAATACTTTCCGAAGGCACTGTAGGTGTGTACCTGGAAGAAGGCGCAGTCGGAGCATTGTCTCCACAAGCTCTCAGAGCGAGGCTTATTCTGACAATACTTCTCATAGATCTGCAGGTCTGTCATCTGAGAGAGAATGAAGAAAAGAGAGAAAGGTTGAGAGAGAAATACCCCTGCATCACAACCAGCCATCTAAGGCACTGCATCTCAGTGCTAGAGGCGTCACTACAGACACCCTGGTTCGATTCCAGGCTGTATCACAACCGGCCGTGATTGGGAGGCCCATAGGGCGGCGCACAATTGGTCCAGCGTCGTCCGGGTTTGGCCGGTGTAGTCCGTCATTGTAAATAAGAATTAGTTCTTAACTGACTTGCCTAGTTAAATAAAGGTAAAATAAAAAAATCAGCCTAGTGATTTAGACACAACATATTCCAGTTCAATCTCCAAACACTCACCCTCTCCAGAAAACAATGACCCACAAGTTCTGGGCAGTCTTGGTACTCTTCCAACTCCCTCAGAAAGGTTCTGGAAGATGATGAGGCAGAGAGAAAAATATGATTAGTTAGTCAGTACAATGACAGTAGTTCTATCACTGTGTGAGCATCATTATTAACCGCTAGGGGGCGCTTGTTTACCTCTTGTGGAAGTGGTAGATCTCTGGCATGTTGCCAAACAGCACATCTTTCTTGTTCTGTAGTGGAGCCGGCATGAGGCTGGCCATGGCTGGGTTGTCCATCTCTGAGGCATAGCCCTGAAACACACAGAGAAAGATGACTTAGGATGACCAATAGGCAGTTTTGTTACCCACCACCACTAATGATTGAGCTCATGATGTGGAGAGGCTAAGCTGAACACTTAAGACCGATGCACACAGGTGAGGAGGACTGAGAAGGTTCATATGGTCCAGGGGAGAGGGATAGAGGCTTCATATGGTCCAGGGGAGAGGGATAGAGGCTTCATATGGTCCAGGGGAGAGGGATAGAGGCTTCATATGGTCCAGGGGAGAGGGATAAAGGCTTCATATGGTCCAGGGGAGAGGGATAGAGGCTTCATATGGTCCAGGGGAGAGGGATAGAGGCTTCATATGGTCCAGGGGAGAGGGATAGAGGCTTCATATGGTCCAGGGGAGAGGGATAGAGGCTTCATATGGTCCAGGGGAGAGGGATAGAGGCTTCATATGGTCCAGGGGAGAGGGATACACACCTGTAGGACACAGTGCAGTTCCTCCACGTACCCCCTCTCTGTCTCCAGCAGCTCATTCATTACATGTCTACAGAGAGAGATAGCACAGGTCAGACAGAATATAGACAGGTCAGACAGAATATAGACAGGTCAGCATGATTTAGACAGGTCTAGGGTTTTTAAAATTCCCGTAACTTTCCCCAAATTCCAAGGTTTTCTAGGAATCCCAGTAGGAAGATTTCCGGAATCGAGAGGGAATAAGCAGGAAATACGGAATCCTCCGACCATAGTTTCTGGAAAACCTGGGAATTTTGCAACCTTAGACGGGTCAGACATAATTATATTATGATAATATAGGCAGGTCAGACGCTATAGCCTGCACACAGGCCAGACATGACACAGACACCAGATGATTAGGGAGTCTTTATCCTTCTTATTTGTATGGGGTGAAACACAACACACACAAGTCAGAGAAACATCAAAGACTCAATACAGACAGACGGTCAGACATAATGAAGACACTAGCATCATACATCATAACAGCTGACAAAACACCCAGAGAACTTACTTTCTGAGGATGGCCAGGTTCTCGTCCTCCTCTGACAGAGAGGCACTTCTGTTGTTCTGTAGCTGGTCCTCCACCTGAGAACACAGGATAGGATGAGTATCTACTGAAATGACTGGAGCTAGTGTCTCATTTAACATACATACCACAGGTATGATAATACTACCCCACAATAAAAGACAGACCAAAGTAAGAGGAACCTCTACTTACTGTTCTACAGCTGACCCCATTCACAGAGTCTCCCTCTGAGCAGCTCTTCTCCATCACTCTCTTTGCTATGGGGGAGAGGAAGAGAGAGGGGAAGACATGAGGTGGGAAATTAACACTACACACATATCTAAATATACATTGACTGTATTTGTGAGGACAGGGTGCTGCTGGTATGTAAGGACTGGTGGTACTTCAGGACATGTGGCATGTCAGGACTCACCTGGCGAGGACAGTGGGGACTTGATGAAGGCTTCAGGCCTTGGGGCCACAGGCTGGACTGGCCTGGTCTGTTTGGCTGCCAGCTTCTTCAGACTGACCATCCTCTTCTCAAACATCTCCTGCATGGACACCTGCTTCTGAAAGACCTTCTCTACTTGGTCCTGAGGGAGGAGGAGAGAGGAGGAGGAGAGGAGCGGAGAGGGGGGAGATGAGAGGAGAGGAAAGGAGAGAGGAGTGCAGATGAGAGGAAGAGAAGAGGAGCGGACCAAGCAGCAGAATGACTCTCTGGGACACTCACAGGTGTTGACAGCTATTTGTTTGCTGTGCCATCCTTTCTTTGTATTGACTTCATTACATTATGATGACACATTTTAGTGACCATACATGACTGCATGTCAGAGAGCTGGAGCCCCTTACCCTGAAGTCCTGGTTGAGCACTGTCTCGTAATCACTGCAGATGACGCTAGGATCAGTCAGTTTGTTCTGTCCTGCCGTATCTAGGTAACGCTCGATCTCCTGCAGCGCTGTCTCCGCCCCTTCATGTGACTGACACTTGTCCACGGGTTGGGAGGCCAGCAGGTAGAGGCCATCATCACACCACTTAGCAGCCTGATAGAGAGAGAGAGAGAGAGGTAGGGAGTTTTTAGAGGTTTATGGGGTGGTGTTCGACTTTATGTGTGTGTGTGTATATATGTGTGTGTACTGTATATGTGTGTGTTTGTGTGTGTGTGTGTATACACTACCGTTCAAAAGTCACTTAGAAATGTTCTTGTTTTTGAAAGAAAAGCAATGTTTTTGTCCATTAAAATAACATCAAATTGATCAAAAATACAGTGTAGACATTGTTAATGTTGTAAATGGCTATTGTAGCTGGAAACGGCAGATTTTTTAATGAAATATCTACATAGGCGTACAGAGGACCATTATCAGCAACCATCAGTCCTGTGTTCCAATGGCATGTTGTGTTTTCTAATCCAAGTTTATCATTTTAAAAGGCTAATTGATCATTAGAAAACTACAACGCTGTGTACTACTCCCTTCACAGAACAGCGCAAACTGGCTCTAATCAGAATAGAAAGAGGAGTGGGAGGCCCCGGTGCACAACTGAGCAAGAGGACAAATACATTAGAGTGTCTAGTTTGAGAAACAGACACCTCACAGGTCCTCAACTGGCAGCTTCATTAAATAGTACCCGCAAAACACCAGTCTCAACATCAACAGTGAAGAGGCGACTCCAGGATGCTGACCTTCTAGGCAGAGTTAAAAGAAAAAGCCATATCTCAGACTGGCCAATAAAAATAAAAGATTAAGATGGGCAGTCTGAGATATGGCTTTTTCTTTGCAACTCTGCCTAGAAGGTCAGCATCCCGGAGTCGCCTCTTCACTGTTGATGTTGAGACTGGTGTTTTGCGGGTACTATTTAATGAAGCTGCCAGTTGAGGACCTGTGAGGTGTCTGTTTCTCAAACTAGACACTCTAATGTATTTGTCCTCTTGCTCAGTTGTGCACCGGGGCCTCCCACTCCTCTTTCTATTCTGATTAGAGCCAGTTTGCGCTGTTCTGTGAAGGGAGTAGTACACAGCGTTGTAGGAGATCTTCAGTTTCTTGGCAATTTCTCACATGGAATAGCCTTCATTTCTCAGAACAAGAATAGACTGATGAGTTTTAGGAGAAAGTTATTTGTTTCTGGCCATTTTGAGCCTGTAATCGAATCCACAATTGCTGATGCTCCAGATATTCAACTAGTCTCAAGAAGGCCAGTTTTATTGCTTCTTTAATCAGCACAACAGTTTTCAGCTGTGCTAACATAATTGCAAAAGGGTTTTCTACACTGTATTTCTGATCAATTTGATGTTATTTTAATGGACAAAATTTTTTCCCTTTTTTTTGGGGAAAACCCGGGACATTTTAAGGGGAAACCCCCCGTTTTGAAGGGGGGGTGTTTTGGAGGGAAGTGTGTGGGGTATGGAAGGGGTTGTTGTGGGTGGGGGAATGGGGGTTTTAGGAGGGGTGGGGAGGAGGGGGTGGATGGAAGGTGGGATGGGTTTTGGGGTTTGGGGTAGGGGGGTATGGAGGGGTGGCGGGCCCCCCCCCTTAGATGTGGTGGGAAAACCCAAAAAGTTGGAGGGGGTTTTTTTTGGGGGGTCTAGGTTGGCAACTCAGTTCCCGTTGGCTGGATCTATTGGGTTTGGATTGGGGAGTCCCCAAAACGGGTTTTTGGGTTGGAATCAAAAGAGTTACCCTTCAAGTGGAAAAGCCTGGGCGGGAAACCCAAATACTTACCCCCCGACAGCAGAAGAAAAGAAGAGAGGAAGGAGAGGAGAGAGAGGGAGAGAAAAGAGGGATGGGGGAGGGGAGAGAGAGGGAGAGAGAGAGAGAAAGAGGAGGAGGGAGGGGGAGAAGAGAGAGGGGAGAGAGAAGGGGTTTGGGGGAGACGAAGGGGGAGGGGGGGAGGAGGGAGGGGAGGAAGAGAGGAGAGGGGGAGAAGGGGGGGAGAGGGGAAAAGAGAGGGGGGGGGGAGGGGAGAGAGAGAGGAGCAAGGAGGAGAGAAAAAGAAGAGGAAAGGGAGAGAGAGGGAGGGGAGGAGGAGGGGTGGGGGAGAGAGAAAAGAAAGGGGAGGGGAAGTTTTAGAGAAGGGGAGATAGGGAGGAGAGGAGGGGAGGAGGGGGAGGAGAGGAGAGGGAAGAGAGGGGAGAGAGAGAGAGGAGAGGAAAGGGGAGGAAGGGGAGAGAGAGAGAGAGGAGAGAGAGAGAGGAGGGGGAGGAGAGAGGGGAGAGAGAGAGGGGAGGGGGAGGGGAGGAGAGAGAGATAAAAAGGGGGGTGATGAGAGTTTTATAGTATTGTGGAAATAATGTTTATCAGGGGTGTTGGGGTTTTTTACTAAGGGCTTTTTCCTTTGGCTGTTCAGGCCCCGGGTGAGGGGGTCAGCATGGGGGGGGGTTTATTCCCCAAACCTTTAGAAAGCTTTTCAATTCTCTGCCACCTGGTAAGCAGACATCTCACCTAAAGAGCCGCAAAACAGAACACACACAGGTGTAATGATGTACACAAAAGCACAATTTTAAAACTGATCCGGTTGTTTCACGCACAAAAAGCAGGTTGGGTTGTCATGTTCCCCTAGGTTTACAAAAATAAAGGGGTGTCACTAAAGTTCTCTATGGGGTATTTCTCTTTAGATACTGTGCTTTGTTTTATGTTCCCAAATGTCAGCCCTTTAGGGGGTGTGTTGTTTCCCCCAAATTTTTTTGGGGAAATTTTGTTTTAAAAATGACGGGCTGAAGGGGCACTGTCCGTTAGCCTGGTTTTTTTCACCCCAAAACCCCATTTAAAAAGCCCCCTTTTGTCTCAAACAAAAATGGGACAGCCCGTCTGACGGAGGAGAGGAGAGAGGGAGAGAGGGATGGAGGAAGAGGGGAGAAGGGATAGAAGGAAAAGAGAAAAATGATGGGGGAAAATATGGGGAGGGTTAAAGAGAGAGAAACAGTGATGGGGGGGTGAGGGGAAACCAGATGGGGCCAGAGAAAGAGAGAGAGGGTTTAGAGAAAAAGGGGAGAGAAGATAGAGAAGAGACCGGGCATGAGAATTTGGGCAAACTTGTGTTTTTCGTGTTTTTATGTTGTTCCTTGTGGGTTCTGTCCTCGTGGTTTGTCCCTATGGTGGGGGTTTTGTCCCCTGTGTGTGTTTTGTCCCTCTGGGGTGTTCTGTTCTTTTGGGGTTTGTCCTATGGTGGTTCTGTCCCCTAGTGTGGGGTCTGCCTTTGGTGTTTGTCCCCCTGTTTGGTTTTGACCCCCTTTTGTGGTTCTGTTCCCCCTGTGTTGTTCTGTCCCTCTGTTTTTTTGTTCTTGTTCTTTTTTCTGTCCCTTTTGGGGGGTTTGTCCCTCTGGGTTCTGTCCCTTGCGTGTGTTCGCCTCTGTGGTGTTCGGGCCCCGGGGTGTTCTGTCCCTTGCGTTGGGTTTTGTTTCCCTTTTGGCTGTGTTTGGGCCCTCTGGGTGTTTTTCTGTCCCCCGGGGTTTGTTTTGTCCCTTGGGTGGTTTTCCCCCGCGTGTGTTCTGTCCCCCGGGGTTCGTTCCCCCCTTTCGTGGGTTTTGCCCCCGCGTGTGTTCGTCCCCCCCGTGTGTGGGTTTGTCCCTTTTGGTGTTTAACCCCCCAAAGTTCAGGGTTTTCCCAAAGTGTGTTTTTAAAACCCCCAAAGTTCTAGGTTTCCCCGTGGGGGTTCTAACCCCCCAAACTTCTAGGTTTCAGTGGGGTGTTCTAAAACCGTATTTTTAAGGTTCTAAAAATGTGGTTTCTAAGTCCCAACCCCCCGTGGGGCTGATTCCCACGGGTGTTTAACCCCGGGGTTTAGATTCCCGGGGTTTAAGTCCAATGTTTTAGGTTCTAACTTTTGTTTTTCTAAGCCCAAACCCGGTTCTGGGGTTCCCCGTGTTTTGTTCTAACCCAAGGGTTCAGATTTTCCCGGGGTTTCTAAAACCCCCGGGTTCTAGATTCAAGGTGTGTGTTCTAAACCCCCGGGGTTCTGATTCCCAGTGGGGGGTTCAACCACAGGGTTTAGATTTTTATTGGATTTTTAAAACCCCAGTGTTCTAGATTCCCGGTTTGTGTTCTAACCCCAGTATTCTGGGTTCCCAGTGTGTGTTCTAACCCCAGTGTTCTAGATTATCAGTGTGTGTTCTAACCCTAGTGTTCTAGGTTCCCAGTGTGTGTTCTAACCCCAGTCTTCTAGGTTCCCAGTGTGCGTTCTAACCCCAGGGTTCTAGGTTGTAGGTGTGTGTT